AAGGGATCCCTGACTAAATACACTGAAACATGCCACCAGTCTAGAGGTTTACTCTATGCAGTTAGAATATGTCCAGTTAGGGCTCATGGTAACCTCACTGTTGCAATTATGTATCAGCCAAGTGTTATGCAAGAAGTCATATGGCAAAGTGCCATGTAACCTTTTGAAAGAGAATATGGCCGAAAAGTCAGTTTGTGTTTCCATTTATAAATGAGAATTTCTTGCATTTTAAGTTACTGAAATTCATCTAATTGAAGCTTGTGTACTTTTGTGTATATGATCTTAACACATCAATACACAATTAACAATTTGTTGAATAAGAATTAAAATTACCATAGTTGGTATCCATATTTGTCTCCTGTTTTGTTTTCTGCAGATAGCATTTTCTTTGAAATGCTAATAGGGACAGGAAAATAAGCCGCAACTATCTTGACATATTACAGCTTGTTTTGACACCAAAATATTCGAATTCATTTTCCCAATTGAAAGCCTGTTTGCCCCATAATAATTTCAGTGTTGCTTGTATTTAAAAAAAATTACATTACACAAACTTTAACATAGTTGTCTTTTTTTTTCTGAATTAAGTCATTGTTGTTGTTAAGCAGCATTGTAATCTGTTACCATATGTTTACTTTCTATTATCCTTACAAATGGTACTTAACACTGAGGCCTTCATACTGAGGCTGATCAAATGCAAACAGGGATTGTGCAAACAAGGTTTAAATTGTCGCCTGATCTATGAAAACTGGATGAAAATAAAGGGGAGTTGCCCATAGCAACCAATAAGAAGTAATGTGTAAGATTCACAGATGCCAGGTTTAAGTTTAAATAATAGTTCACTATTAGTAAACTTTTTTTTTTATTATTATTATTATTTAAAGAGCGCCAACAATTTATGCAGCGCTTTACATAGTGCACATTTACATCAGTCTCTGCCCTCAAGGAGCTTACAATCTAAGGTTCCTATCTCGCATGCATTCATACAGGCCCAATTTAGATCGGAGCCAATTAACCTACCAGCATGTCTTTGCAGTGTGGGAGGAAACCAGTGTCCCCCAGAGGAAACCCACGCAGGCACAGAGAGAACTTGCAAACTCTATGCAGACAATGACAATGGGTTTCCTGCACCCGGGGATCTCGGATTCCTACTCTGGTAGCACTTTATCCTTGGGAATTCTATCTCATTTGACCTTGCAGTCTTACATTAGGAAGGACAAAATACTGGACCTGGGGCATAGCACAAGAAAGAACACAGGCCCTTTTCAAAGATATCCAAATTAAAGCCTTATCTGTCCCCAAAAAAGGATGTGTGATATTTTAAGGTAGACTACAGATGATAAAAGGTATAATTGTGGAACCGAGAGATCACTGAATCAAGGAAAACATGCAATTCATGACAAGGGTTTTATCGAAAAATCTCTGGGAGCTACACATCCTGAATGCACCGTTTCTTGCTGTATGCTCCCCTTTAGTCCGCATGTCATGCACGTGCATTGGTACTCATTCACACAACAAGTTAAAAACATGCTAGCACTACTATTACTTGTTAATGGCACCCCAAACACGGCCAATAAAACAAACAAACATACAAACAATTTTTTTTTTTTAACAGAAAATGCTGCAGGAACGTCTGTTCGACGTTTGTCGTGGATGCGGCAGCCCATTGAAATGAATGGGCTGAAGTGGGCAAACTCAATGAGCGTTCACACTGTGCCGAGGTGTGAACAGAGCCTTAGTCCCTGTTGCAGGAATTGTGTAGCCTACATGGGGAAGGACAGTTTATCGTAAACCATTAGTGAGAGAAAATGCTCATCTCCTTCTAAAAATACTTTGCTTCACTGGCATAAAACTAATGCAAAAAGTCAAAATTCTTTGCATAGTTGTGCTGTGTCAGAAAGAGGATTAGCATGACAGCCTGGCAGCTAGCATTTTTCGAAGGTGGAAGTGGAAGCCTTCAAATTTCCCTCCTTAACAGGTTTCCCGCAGGCAGAGTATTGTCCTCTGTATTGTTAGATCACTAGTAAAGCAGCAGACACACCTGACTTCATAACCTGATCTCTCACACAGCGTCAATAAATCCATGTCCTGTTTTGAGTGACTTGACACTTTAGAGAGCCTTCTGTTGTATTATCGATCTTCAAGCCATCCATACAATACTTAACGGGTTCCTTTTCTGTGAGTAAATGTGTACTTTGATTCAGGTTAGTTTACTTATGGCCAAATCCAACTTATGTGTACCCCCTGCCCTCTACTCCCCTGCTTGTTTGATAGAAAAAAAAAATCAGTTTGTTCCTATACTAAATCCTGCAGTCCTCTGGCCAGTCTTGTGACATTATAGGTACTTGGAGAGGGGGGGGTTCTTGCATCTGGACAGCGCTCACTCAGTGACCCGTTAGCCCCATGCTGTCCAAGAGAACTGTGCATCCAAGCTGGATTTATGAATCGGCTTCCATGACTCCCTGAGCTCACAGGAATTTGGCAGAATTAAACGGTGTGAATGAGGAGGACTGCCATTAGATCACAGTTTGCTGAATCGGGGAGTGGGAGGTGATCCTGGAGAGGAGTTTAGTGTTGCAGCCACTTTTTTTTATTTATGGAGTTTTTGAAAGCATGGTAGAAGATGAAAATAGATAAGCAGCAGGGTTTCATACATTGACTTACTGCTACAGTCCTGAAGACCCTTCCCATTGCATGTGATAAGATGTCAAACAATCTTACTACCGTAGAGTTTTGTATATACTTAATCAATTAAGTGCATATTGTGTATTATCGCTCTATAGGCTTGGGAAGTGGTTGTGCTCCACTGTAAACTTTAACAGGACAGTGTGAAATCCAGCTCCTGTGGACAACGGCTTTTCTACAATTCTTCAAACTGTGTTCTGAAAGCTTGTACACGTTATATTTTTAGATAACCACTAAAAATGACAACTTTGACAACACGTTTTTCCTTCTCTTTAAATGTATTTATTCCTAGTTAGCACAGTACATCACGTTTTCGCTTTCTACAATTCTTATTAATCAGATGTTATAGGTATCTAGCGCAACTAGCTTTCCACTCTTCCTTGTAATGACTTTATTCCCACTGCTCTCCTGTCAGTCTTATTAATGTGTACTAATCTTTTCCCAGTGCACTTGCTTGGGTCATTAAACATATTGTGTACAGTTAAAGCATTCTCTTACCCTGCTTGTAGGAGAACATTACCTGACGCTTTTCATTTTTTTTTTTTCTTATTGATGAATGAAATGTTTTCCAAGTGATCGTAGTTATAGGGAGCATTTTAGGACTTGATCGGTCAGATCATCCACATATACCTGTAGCTTTGCATCAGGGTCTGTCTGATTTAGATGGATTAGATTACGGTCATAAGCCCATATGCTAAAACACTATCGGAATGTGAATGGCCAGCTGAAGAATACAGTTATCTATACGATTTTGGAAGCTTTCTATCTGCTTACAATCTTGAAGGAGAACTATGGGGTCTGGGCTTTTCCCCATAGTTCTCCTAAGGGTCACGGGAGAACACAAACCGTCGTTCTCCCATGACCCAAAGCTCCGTATACCGTGAGCTAAAGCTTGCGGTATACTGAGACGCTGCAGCCGGGATGGATCCCGACAATACTGTCTGGATCCACCCAGCTGTGGGATTGATAGCTGGCTCTGCCTATCCAGAGGCAAAGCCAGCTGTGCTCGCCCCCTCCGTTTCGCCAGTCAGCACTGGAGGACCGGACAGGGGAGGGGGGGAATCCCTGCAGGGAGCCGTGAGTGACGGTCACGGCTCTCTGCAGGGATAGATCTAGAAGTGAGCTTGCGACGGTGTGTGTTCGCTCACTTCCCGATCTACTGAGCCGACCTGTGACAGTTTCATCGTCACAGGTCAGCTCAGATTATGAGGCTGAGTGAAAAACGCTCGCCTCATAATTCTCCTTTTTAAAAACAAAAACACGTGCAATGGAATGGTTAAATAAAAATCTCCCACCCACTCAAATGTTTTCCCAGAAACAGAATTACAAACAAAGATGCTGCCTCTTCCCCCTAATGGATGTTACTTTTGTGCTGGCTGATTTTCTGCACTATATGGAATAACTAGAGAGAGCTTAGATTGAGTGACGCCTCACTGGTTTTAGCAGAGTGGCTGATGCCATAAGAGAAGTTGAGTCTTGGCAGTTACTACCTTAAATGTGAAAAGTATGCATTGTTACACTACTTGGGAAATTTGAATCTCAAACTACTAATTAATTTAACAATGCTCTGGCAGTCACCTAATTTACAACAGAGAGAAATTGGCTGTCTAGCTTAGGTCTTAATGAGACTTAGTATAGAAATGTTTTCTTGCATTGGATCCTTGCCCAGACTATTGGCATTGGAGTATTTACCTTTTGGCAACAAGCAGTATGAACTTTAAAACAATCCCTTACTAATCTCTGTAGCTGCAACCACTGTGGAGCAATTCATCCTCAAATTTACAGCGGAAGCACTGAAGCTAGCTCAAGTCTGCTTTCTCTGCAGCTCAACTCATTCTGCTCATGTCCCAGAGCACCTTTTCTATGTTTACATTAGATATTAGAAGGCTTTTACCTTTTTGCTTAAAGTAGGTGCTGAGTATGCCAACAGCTTCAGTACTGCTAAAGTAAACTTTGAGAATAAATTGATCTTTTAGATTATAAGCCCTCCCTACCATTTTGTCTTGAATTGTATTGTGATTGTAATGTCTTCCCTATATTGTAAAGCGATGCACAAACTGTTGGCACTATATAAATTCTGTATAATAATAATCCACAGTGCCTGCAGGTACAGAGAAAAATGGTGACTTGCTTAAAGCTCATTTATTGATATACTTAGGAATGTGTAAATATTTGAACATCTATAGCGTGGCCACAGTTACTTTAAGGTTTCCTTTCTGACAAGTTCTTGTACCATTTATGCTCTGGTATAAATTAGCATTTTGTTAGTAATGAAATAACTTCAACATTAATAAACGTATACCTTATATTGCTTACAGGGCACCTGAAAAAGAAGCACTTTCAAGAGGCAGAAACTGCATACAAGAAGTTAAAGCACACTGTCGACCAAGCTCTCTCACATAGTGCTTACTCAGAAGTGAATCTCAGCAAGCTATTTCAGACCCTCGCCGCTATCAAGTAGAGCTGTATCTTACAAATTGGCTCCTTATTTTAAGATGGACACATTTTTCATGATTTTTTTTTTTTCGGTTTCTTTTCTTCGGGGCTTAACCTGGGAAATCTTTTCTTCACGATCCAGCTGTAGTTTTCAGTCTTAAAACTAATTTTGTAATTGTAACCATTTAAATGTTGCAAAGTATTCTGACTGAGTGTGTCTGTCACAGCACATTCTATTTCTTTTGTAAGGAGTTGTCCATTGAGACCTAGGAGATAAAAGGACTGCTAGTTTAATTGAATAATTCCCAGTGAGAGGGGCTGCAGTGTAAGTGATCCTCGACTTTTCTGTTCAGTATTTAGTGGAGGTGCTTTCAGCAAACAAGGTTACGTGAGGTCTCAGTAGGAGCACTAATGTTTTGCCTTTTCACAGTTTTATCAGCTTCTCATCACAAACATGCTAATTAATAAAATGACTAAACTCTAGCTATTCCTGACATTTAATATGTAAAATATAGACGTATAGCCTAGACTTTAGTGGAATATTGTATTTCTGTGGATTTCCGGCTAGTACAGTTTTATCTGGAACATTTACCTTACCTTCCGTGTTCTTTTGTGCTATTTTCATCCTGTTTTTCTCAAACGTTCTAATGTTAATATTGAAGAAAATAGGTCACCAGCACTCCATAAGTTAAAATGAATGAGTCATAATATTGGCATTTTATCCTTCAAAAAATTGAGGTGGAAATTTTTTCACAAAAAGTTTTATACAATGTGGACCAATTAAATAAAGATGTTTTCTGAATGCCTGGTTAGTTTTACAATTGATTTTCACCATTGTATGATGCGTTACTTCATCCTCGTGACCATAGTACAAGTAAACAAAATGTTTTGGTTTAATTTTCCGGAAATCTGTTGAAGCCATGGTTAAAATTACAGTTTACTCTCCTATCTTGCTAAGGATTTGGCCAGACATTCTTGTGGTACACGCATCTGTGCAAGTTGGTGATATGGTTCTGCTTCCACCTGGTTTAGCTTTACTGCTTCTTCGGTCAGCCCACTGCTCAATGGACATGGTGGTAATACCAGTTCAGTAATGAGGCTGGAGATGAAAACATGTCATAGGATGCTGAATTGGATAAATAGGGCGTGTGTTACCTGTCTGGCTGCGCAATTTGGAAAATTAAACAGTATGTCTCTTCTGCAACAAAAAAAACCTTGTGAGCAAAAAATGTCTCTGAAATAGAACATTGTATCTTCTAGTTCTAGAAGCTGTAGGCTTGCATTACATGCTGTTATGCTTATGATCTACCCAGCCACAGAACTTTCTCCATCATTAATTCAGCCAATAGATTGTAAGTGCATGTCTTTAGTGCCCACTTGCGCAACTTACCAACAATGAACTTCATTTGCAATGCAGTAGTCCAACCAGTTCTTCTTGGTCAGCTTTTGCATAGTTACATTAGTATTGAGGTTGAAAAAAGACATAGGTCCATCAAGTTCAACCTTTGTGTGTTGTGCGTGCATGTATATGAGTCCCTGTGTGGTCTAGTATTTAAGTGTACCTTACGCTTTTCTTTTTTCTTTTTATTTTTTTTGCCTAGTGTCATTTTGAACACATTCCTTTTCAACCCAAAGTCTATTTTCCGTGAAGGCTGTAAATAGTCTTCAAAAATTGGTTCTAGCAGGCTCAGTGGAATATTAAAAAGAGTCTGAGTTTGCACAAAATGCAAACAATTACTAATATACAAGAAATATAATGTTGACCCCAGCAGGGCCGCTGTCAGGGGGGTACGGCCGATACTCATGTAAGGGGCCTGGACAGCCTCCGGGACCCTTTCATGAGTATCGGCCTACGGTGAAGGGCGAGGAGGAGGCGGCCGGGCCCCCGCAGTGGTGGAGGCCTGGCCCTAGCAGCGCAGGGCCCCAGCATTGCCGCTCCTGCGGCTTCAAGACAAGCTGTCACTCAGCCCTGCGCCCATCGCGTCACTCAGCCCTGCGCCCAATGCTGGCAGTGCGTTCTGGCCAGAATCAGACCGGAACGCACTGCTTATGGTGTGAACTAACCCTAAGCCCTGCGTCCAGTAGACATCTGATTTATTTCGGAAAATTTAGTTTTTCGGACGAAATTCGTTAGTGGTAGTATGTACGCATTTTTGTTTGTGGACGAATTTTCATTGCAGCGAAGTCACATTTTAAGAAATGAAACTAACGATACAAAGATGAAACTGAAAGGAACATTCGTACAGACTACTGCTAATGAATTTAGTCCGAATCCCGAAATGAAATAACGCAAAATCCGAATCAAAACACAATGCAACTAAACAAATTTTTTGCCGGTGCACATGTCTAGTGTCCAGCGGGTCAGGAAGCCCTGAGTTCAGCGGGTCACGTAAATGTGGGGGGACATTAGAGTGTAAGCTCCTCTGTACAGAGACTGATGGGACCGGGGCTGCATTAAAACTGGCGCTAAGACGCTGCCCACCAAGATGATCACGTCGTTGCAGGGAGACTGCAGTGTGGGGGAACGGCAGCTGCCGACAGTCCCAAGATCTCGGAAGAAAGTAAATTTGCTTGAAGAGTGTGCAGGTAAGACTACCTGCATTCCCCCCACATGCTGTATAAATGTATTGCTGGGATTTGTTGTATTCCTCTATAGCTAATGGTGTATTGCGTGTATATGTACCAGCAGCTATAGAGAACCACAAATCCCAGCAATACATTGTACACTACAGGTGAAACTCGAATAATTAGAATATCGTGCAAAAGTTCATTTATAGTGTTTGTTTTTTTTGCTTCCACTGCTCCAAGCTTGAGTGACGTGATTGGCTCAGTGTTCTCTGTACAGCGCTGCGGTATATGTCAGAGCCATATACATGTATAATCATAGTGTGTAATTGTGGGGAGACAGTGTATAAGCTCCTCTGTACAGAGACTGAAGTGACTGTGGGGGGACATTATAGTGTAAGCTCCTCTGTACAGAGACTGGGGAGGGGCCTAGCCTAAAGCCGTGTAAGGGGCCCCAAAATTTCTGAAGGCTGCCTTGACCCCAGGCAGTTATCGCATTGCCTGGGGTGATCAGGAACAAATTTTTCCTTGTTGGAGCATATCGGTCCACAGTTTATAAGGGTTACCTTGATGGTTTAGGCTACTGGGAAATGCAAGTTTTTGCAATGGGGATGGCTATGTTGTTTGAAACATTCGAATTGTAACTTGCAGCTGGCACAAACTTTCCTGCAGTGTTAATTTTGACGGCAAATGTCAATTTAGTCTTTGTTTAAGCCTCGACTAAAAGGCCATTTCCGTTTTAGTTGTATTTTAGTCATCAGAATAGTTTTAGTCGACTAAATCTAATGGGTTTATATAAAGTGTGATGCATTATTTAAGCAAGTCCTTAGAATTTCCAAATCATGATATATTCCTGAGTAAACCTCTATTAAGCTGTTATGACTTAAGATTGTTGGTCCACATGGTATACAAAGGGTCTTATTCTCATTAGCATCAAATGTAAAATGCATCCATACATCTGCTCTTCTTCTCTTTCTCTCTGACATTGACATGTCTGTACAGTTTGTGCAGCAAGTGTTTTGCTAGCTGGTGTCCCGCTGGGTAGATCGGTAGGTTATTATTCGGTTGTTCACGTCTCCTTATTACGGGAAGAGCTTAGAGAACCGGCCAAATGCAGTAGTCACTCCCACAATTTTCGTTTCCTTTTTGGTCTATTAAATTCTGTATTACTTCGTCTTCGTTTCGTTTTCTTAACTTAAAAATATGCAGATGGCGAAAAACAGACGAACATTTTTTGTCAAGGAAATTAACACTGCTGTCTTGTTGCTAGCCAACCCTCCCTACCTCTTGCCACTTTTGAAAGACATTTTCTACATAGCTTTGAAACTATTCTCTGATGCCTTGTTTCTCTGGGCAACCAATATGACTTGTTCCAATAATACATAATACATGATGCTATCTCGCTCACTATGAGGCCTTGTGCACATTATGTTGAAAAAACATGAGTTCAGGTGCGTTTGGAGCTCGTTTCTAAAGCACCTGAACTCATGTAATACTTTTCTATGACTGAATGCACACCTAGATGTCCAGCAGTGTCTACATGCATTCAGTCTAGAAATGTTTTCCCAAACTAGGATTTTCTGCGTTCTGGGTCAGTGTAAACGTGACTAAGCCCAGTAACAACTAAATACAGGAAAAGATCTGGGAAGCATAAAGTTGTTTATACTTATCAGATAACTTCTCTTGTGCTTAAACGCAGTCAGCTACTGTGTCAGCTACCAATGTCTAATTTCAGTGCAGGAATTACCGCCTATATTTATATCTATATTTCTATATCGGAAATCTACTATGTGCATATAACTTGAAATTGTTTGAAACTTTTGGGCATAGTTATTCTTACAAAAGTTTAAAAATGTATTTGGATGTCCACATTAATATGTGGATGTATTTCAAAACTTTGGGATGAAGCCTTGGTTCCCATTTTATGTAAATGCTCACCATACAAAGATCCTAGATCCAGAATCTGTCAGTATCTTAGAGGGTCAAGCTTCTGCTATATGGCCATATGGTAGTATTATTGAAACGCGTATTGAGCCTGTGTATTTAATAAAAATCTGCAAAACCCCAAAATATGCTACAGTGGTTTACTATATCCATATAGCAGACATAAAGGCATTATTTGCCATAGTTTTATGGCTTTTTATTAAGCCTTTAGTAATCTCTTCTTTTCATTGGATTATTAGCAAACATGTTCCTTGTTTTTCTTTACAAATTACCTGCCAGTGGGGGAGAGGATTTTTCCAATTAGAAACAAAATGCACAAATATCTCCCGCTATTCATTGAGAAAGTTGTGCTGAGTCAGTGCCTTGCGACTGCATGTTTAAGTAGCTTCTACTTAATAAAGAATGTCATGCAATTAAATCTGTCTTAGAGGTGCCTAGTAATGCTGGGGAAGGCTTCATTCAGCACCTAGCTAGACATGAGATACACTTGCTGGACCTAAACAATACAGGCAACCCCTTGCACCACTCCAGATGAGTCCGCTCAAGAAAAGTGTGTCTATATTATTCACACCAGAATAGGGGAGTCGGAAAAAAAATCAGTGAACTTTGTTGTGAAGAGAAGACAAATA